GGTACCGTTTTTACCCTAGTGCGCAGCTTGTTGCGCTCCTGGCCTACTGTAGTGTAAGAAAAAGGCATTAGCCTCTGGACTGACGCCTCCCCATCTTGCAGCCCATGTCTTACAGTCCGAGCTATTACAACGCCGGAGGGCCGGGGTCGGACTATGCAAATTCCCCATACGGCACCGGAACCAACACCCCAACTCGATCATATCCGCATGGAGCACCAGTTGTCTCTCGCCCCACATGGCAAACAGAGAAGGTAGAAGAAGAGCTGGCGCTGCATATTAAGAAGGCTCTTTCTCCAGAGGAAACCGCTCCCAAGCAAAAGCATGTTCGCGCCTGCATCGTGTACACGTGGGATATTAAAGGATCGGGTAGTTTTTGGATGGCGATTGAAACCTTCCCGGTGCTGGGGGACGAACTTGTGACTTTCAAAGCTTTGATTACTGCTCACAAGGTTATTCGGCAAGGGCATCCCAACGTACTGAAGGATGCAATAGGCCAAACTGGATGGTTCGACACCCTTACCCGTAGCGTACCTCCTCATAGTACCCGAGGATACGGCGTTCTTATTAGAGCTTACGTCCAATTCCTTTTGGCAAAGCTTGACTACCACCGTCTACATCCAGAATTCAGTGGAACCTTTGATTACGAGGAATATGTAACTTTGAAAGGAGTTGAGGACCCCAACGAAGGTTTTGAAACTATCAATGATCTCCTAGGTCTATTGGATAAGCTTGATTCTCTTCAAAAGTTGATCTTTGTGAACTTCAGACCTAGTTCCAATAATGAGGCGAGGATAGCAGCACTCGTTCCGCTGGTTGAGGAGAGTCATGGGATTTACCAATTCCTAATCAACATGTTGATGGCAATGCACAAGATCATTGGATCTGTGGAAGTACTTGCTCCCCTCCGGGAGAAATTCAATGCTGGTCACTACGCACTTTTTCGCTTTTACTATGAATGCTCGACACTTAAATACCTGACGTCGCTCATCACGGTGCCGAGATTATCACAAGATCCCCCAGACTTCCTTGCCCAGGGGCCCCCTACATTACCACCCCGAGGAGAGTCTCCCAACAAGCAAGCGGAGATTGATCTTTTCAACGAACAGCAGGCCGCATTCGAAAAGCAACTGATTGAAGACCAACAGCGTGAAGAGCAGCGGCTGCAAGCGGAAAGAGAATTGGAACTTGCGCGACAACGACAGCAGCAGCAGCAGCTTGAGGCGCAAAGGCAACTCGAACTGCAACGGCAACAGCTTGAAGGACAGCGACAGCAGGAGGAATTTCGACGACAGCAGGAGGCCGAGCGGAGACGGTTAGAGGAGGAGCGCCTGCGTATGCAACAGCAAGCAAACGCGGCAAATGCGCAACTGGAGGGCCAGCTCTTACAACAGAGGCTAATGAACGCGCAGAATGAGCTGGAGCAATACCGGAATCAGTCATACCGTGACCGTGACACACTAAATCAGTATGAGCAGGTATGTAGTGGTAAGATTGCCGAGTGATCTTTCCAGACTTCAATTAGAACACACTTTCAGAGAATACGGGGCTTGGAACAACAATTGTCCCAGTTGTCCCTGGGCAACCGCGATATGGATGCTGCAAAGGATGACCTTCTGCGTAGATTACAGGGTGAGCCGATGAGAGCTAACCAGTGCTAAATACAAAGGAACTCATAAGTCTTCATCCAGAGGAACTTGCACAATGGAAGCAAAAGTACGAAGCGCTGGCTAAGCTGTATGCTCAGCTGCGAAAAGAACATCTGGACCTTTTAAACAAGTTTAAAGACGTTCGGGATTCTGCGAATCGACAATCGGAGCAAGCCCGAAAAGAGGTTGAGAAAGCGAAATCAGACATGAAAGTGCGTTGGATAGATTCTACATGACGCAGTAATCACAAACGTTACTAACTCGTCCGTCATTCTTCTTGCTAGGAAAAAAGTAATGAGGTCACAGAACTTCTCATTGAGCGCGATCGTTTGAAAGGGGAGGTGGATCGGGTGCGGGCACAGTACGAAGAAGAGATGAGTCGATTACGCCGCGACCTGCAAGATGCCAAGGCTTCCCTGAATGACCTCTCTGCGTCCAAAGGGGCGGAGTTGCAAAACATTATTAGTCGCTTTGAAGCTGAGCGACTTGAGATGGAGAATCTGAACAAGGTATTTCCGTTGGTTCCCGCTCAGGCTGTATCCACGTGTGACGCTTTTAGCTTTCATAGGCGAAGCAGCAACAAATCGACGAAATGAGGCGAAGATTGGACGATGCAGCAGCGGATATACATCGGTCAAAGGCGGTGCGTGAGAATTTTCTCCTCTCCACTTCGCCCTTACAAGCAATGATAGATTATAAATGGGTTTTAGGCGCAAGAGAGGACGCAGCTGTCCTGCAGGCCGGTCTTGATCAGACGCTACTTGCTCTTGCTGCACAGCAGAGGTACGAGGACTAACGTCGACCATGCAGTA